CCAATTTGTGTTTAGGACAGTAATTACCAGAATGTCGCCGGTGGATGTTTTTTTAACTGAGTTTTGACATTAAGAATAGAAAACCCACTTGACGGTAAGGTCAGGACATGTCTTTTCATGTAAATCAATGTCATGGCTTCCCAGTGGTTAGGGATTTCTTGTAATTTAACTAAATTGTCAGTTACGGCAGTTTTCCTGTGGGTGGGCAGGTGCAGCTGCTTTATGTGTCGGGATTTCAGTGTGGGCTGGCAGGGCACTTCCGATTTTTGGTCTTTCTGCAAGTGGTAGTGTGGCTGTGGGGAGACTCGGCCCCGAGCTTGCACGTGGCACTTCCTCGCTCCAGTTACAGACATGTGAAAAGCAGGAGGTGGGAGCAAATCTTCCCTGTCAAGCCGGAAGGATTTTGAAGGCTAAAGGTGCAGCAACCTGCTTGGCTGTCCGAGGCACTAGCCTTGTGCTGGCATTTGCGAGCTCCCCGGGCTCCCCTCTGCCTACCACAGGAGCCCTTTGTCTGCTCTTGCAGGATTTCTCTCTCCAGTGTGGAATATCTTACCTGACATTTAAACACTTCCTCTGATTTATTTTTTTTACTTTTCCTCTAGTCACACACCCCAGTGCTGCGTTAGCGCTGGAGAAGTGGGAAGCACAGTTCACTAGTCCAGGGTTTCCCAAACCTCTTTCCCCTGGCTGCCCTGTGCCGGGCGAGGTGGGTCGGAGGCGTCGGGGCGGCGTGTCAGCTCACGTAATACCGGAGAGGCAGCAGCGCTGGGCTGCAGGCAGGCACGCACCGACAGGCAGGGCCGGGTCGTCTCCCTGCCCTGCAGCCTCCTTCCCCGCTGGGACTGAGCGTGGGGTGGCACTGGGCTCCGGCTGGGGAGCGTGCCGCTGGGGGGGCCCGGCGGGACGAGGGGATCGCTTACCACAACCCTGGGGATCGCTGTTTGGGAAACCGCTGTGCTTGCCAACTTGCGTTGCTCAAATCAAGTAAAAAGCAATGTGTATGGTTGGAGAGTGGGGAAAGTAAGATGTCAAAAAATCCCCCAAGATGATAGCAGTAGCACTAGGAAAGAAGAAAACAGTCAAAAAGCCCCTGCAAACCCTTGAGTAAAACCCAGTCCGACTTGGGAGTAAATGAGGGTGAAGGCGGGACTTGGGGTTGGTAAGTCCTGCCCTAATTATCTCTGCAGCCCAGAAAGTGCTGTGTCAGCACATGGTCAGCGGTATTGTGCCATAAGCCTTTGCCGGAGTGTCTTAGCAGTACCAAGCAGATATTAAAAGCCTCAAGTACAGCATGAACAAATATCTGCAATATTTATTAACCGCGGGGAGCTCAGGTAATTCTTTGAAGTTTTTGACTTACTGTGGAGTGAACTTGTGTTTTTGTGTGAGTTGCAGTACGTGAAGAAGCAGCTGTGAGAGAAGTGCCTTCTCCAGAGAGGCTTTCACGTGTTAGCCATTCATTTAACGTGAGGCTTTGGACCTCAGGGTTGCATCTGCCGCTGAAATATATGGACTATGCAAAAAACTCAGTTCTGCTTTGGAGGGTTTAGCTGCACAGGATTTTCATTTCTCTGTGAGATCTAGCCTTTTTGTTAAAGAGAGGATGTGTGCTGAGAATTGGGAAGTGCGTTAAGTTAGCTGGTTAAAAGAGTCTGCGGAACTGCAGGTGTCTGAGTCGTAAAGGAGCTGCAAAGTATTAATTCCAGCTTTTGAGTTAACTAAAGCCAGACAGGTTTTAAAACCAGTTTAAGTTCTGGTTTTAATCCTTCGTAAGTCACAGCTGAAGTTTTTAAATGTAATATAGCTTGAAAGGTGCTTTTCTTTAGTTTTTAACTTTGTTTTTCAAAGTGTCCAGTTGTGAACTGTATTGAAATACTGTTGGCTTTTTTTCTTAAACGGGAATTCTTCACCCAAAATAGTTAAAGAAATAAGACAGGTGTTGAGAAGATAACTTATCGTGAGCAAGCCAGAGAAAGACTGGAAAATTAAGGGACTGGTGGGTGAGGAGTAGTGTTAGTGCTTTTGACCGTGCCGGTCAAAGTAAGTTTTGAAGGCGGAGTTGAATAGAGAGAAAAGACGACACCAGAATACTTGAAGTATTTCTTTTTTTCTTCTGCTTCTTTGAAAAGAAGACTTGCTCTACCAATTGAGTTTTGGAGTAGATCTTTACTTTTACCTAGCACTTGTACAGGAGATGTGGAAATGTTTTCTGGTTTGTCTTTTTCTCGGAAACAGAAAAAAATAAGTCTCTGTTGTGTTTGTTTTTTTTTCCCCCCAAACAGAATTTCAACTTTTCTTGTATATTGAGGAATAACTTTAAAGCTAAAATGAGAGAGGGAATGGAAAGATCTCCAAAGAATCCAAACATTGAATATCCAGATTAATGTGTCATCGATTTTAAAACGGTGAGACGCCTTCTAGCCTGTGTGATGGCAGGCTGTGGGGTCGGGGTAGCAGCCTGGGGAGCAATCGTGATATTTGGGGTGCCAACCTTTGCTTTCTGCCCCTCTCCTGGCAAATACACCAGTTTTCTCACGTTTCTTCCTAGGTTATGGGAGAAATGTACCGATGGTGTGATTTCCCCTTAGGAAAACATTACGTTTATCACAGATCTTGACATGCCTCTGATGCTCTTTGCCTACCGCTGTTGTGTTAGCACTGGAGCGGATGGGACCGTACATCACTGTGGCAATAGAGGAATGTATATGATGGCTTTTGCATGGGCCAGACCATCTCGTCCTGGCTTTTGCATCCTTGGGTTTAACTAGTGTTGCTGTGTGAAGCAGTGGCGGTCCCAGCTGTCCTCCAGGACCGTCTGTGAGGCTATCAAGAGGGGGAAGCTACCATATTTAGTAGGCTTGAGGACCTTTTAGATGCCTCTTCTGCTGCGCCAGAGGCAAAACTGCACAAAATTGCATTTTCTTGAATAAAATTAGGAGGTGTGTACTGTTTCTCTGGACATTGCTGTCTGAGCTGCTTTGAGGGGTGTGCCCTAATGTCGTCCTGTCAAAGTGAGTTTCCTACCCCAGTGAGTGGTTCCCTGATAATGCTGCCTGCTCGGGAGTGACATGGCCCATGTTGGAGCTGCTCCCTTGCTGGATTGAACCCACTCGGGCTGGTCCGTGTCTCTTCTCCGGCCCCAGCATGTCAGCAGTCTCGGGCGGCTGAGCTGAGCTGAGAAAATGGCTTATGGCTTGTATAAGGATGATGTCTGGCTGCTCTTGTCCCTTGGTGTGATCCACCCCTCCTTATGCTGGTTGTGATGCCCTCCGGTGAACCCCCTGGTCAACCAGTTCAACTCACCGGCACGGTCCTTTGGTGGCACCGAGCAGTTACGTTGGCTGGCAACGTCTGTTTGAAACCATACCCCAAACTTAAAGAGGCTTTGTCACAGCAGGTTTAAAAATACCGCAGTGTGATGGATGACTGTTCAAACTCTTTTCAGCCTTGCTAATATAAGACTTTCTTTTCTCGTATTCGCTTCCTTTTTTCCACTGAAGAAATGACTCTGTTGGTTCATGATGTGCTTTGACGCTGTGGCATCAAATACCTCTCGTGGAGTGACAAACGCAAGGAGTGGGGTGCACAGGGAGAGGCCAGCTTGGACTAGTCTGGCTGTTAATACCTCTCAAACCTTGCTTCCCTTATGTTCTTAGACGAGCACACGGTTATTTATGATTTTATTACTTAATTTTAATAAATAAGTTTAGTATTTAAAAAGAGAAAGAAGGAGTAAAAAAACTTATTAGGACTAAGGTTATATTTAGAGTGGAAGAAACGTTTCTCTTGGCTCCTCTTACCTGCCCTCCTAACCCATTTACTGTGGATAATTATTTGAAATGTACTATTTTAAATCTCAGTGTTAATTATTTCCAAGTGGTTGAATATTATTGTTAAAATAATCGTTGGAAATTTGCTTTGGGCATAAATGAGGTCTGCGCCAAAAACTGCCATTTCTTTTGCGCTGTTTAATTCTGAAGAGTAGCAAAACTCAGCCTGCTGGTAAAGCCTTTCTGAAACATTTAGTTCTTGAGAAACCAGTCTCTTCTGTGAAGCATTAAATGAAGAGCTTAAAATAATTTTCCAATGGTGATAATTTTTCTGTAATCGCAAAGGCTGTCCATTTGCTAAGTACTGGCACTGTAAACACAGGCAAGCTGTTAAGCTAATAAAGCTGTTCTGATGACGTTAAAATAAAAATGCCTTTTTTTTTTTTTCCCTCCAAAGGGGTCTCCCAACAGCTTTCACCTTCCCCATCTCCCGATGAATGCACCTTTTGTTGCCAGCTCCAGGTGACCCAGGAAAATGGGTGACTTCAGCAGCGGCGGGTCTTGAAAATGTTTGCTGTCTTTTGGCCTGTGCTGGTCCCTCTGCAGCTTGGCCAGCAAACCTTCCATTTTGAGATCCGAATTGCTGTAAATTTGAAAGTTTCTAATTTTTGTCTCCCTTTTGTTTAGCAGCAGCAGCTGCTGCTGCTTAGCAACTCTGCGTTATATCTGGAAGGAAGGTAGTTGTCATCCATGTCCCACGTGCATGCAAGAGCTTGACTCCTCTTCCAAAACCTGCAGGTTTACAACGACCAGTACCCGTCATACGTTCGGGCTTTTCTGTATTTAAAGCATCTGAAGTATGTGTTCTGGTAGGGTGCTTGAGAAAAAAAGACATCTTTTTCTCCAGAATGATTCACTGTAAAGTAAGTTTTAACATCAAACAGGTGACCTTGTACTCCCATTATTCGTTTAACGTCAGCCTTTGTTTACTGCCTTCGCCTGTTGCACAAACTAGAAGGACCAGTGTACAGCAAGGAGTCGCTAGCTTATAGAAGCTCTGTAATAAAACAGCTCCACCTCAGAACTGAGGCCTCGTTTCCCAGAACTAACATGACTGTAACCAGGAAAAAAAACAATCAACCTTGTTTTTTTGGAAGAATCTTGTTTTACGCTTCTGTATTCTCTGTGCTGAAATGGCTGATTTAAGTGCAGTTCATTTTGGTATATTCGAACGTAGTTCTAGGTTAAATAAATTGTTCGCTGAGGTCCTATGTAAATTATTAATAACTTGTTTTGTATAGTGTTGGTTAACTTCACCTTTTTGTGTCTCAGAAGGACTATTTCATATGTCTGAGGTGCAAGCTATTTTAATAAATTAATGTATTTTAAAGAGTGTCCTGATAGCAGTTGAGTTCACAATCCTATAAGGAGTTGTCATCTCAAGTCTCATTATCTCATGATTCTCAAAGGACAGTGTAGACTCTCAATCTTACATCCATCCAAAAAGAGTTATTTCACTATGTGGTGCCTCTCACTTACTCATTTTGCTTCAGCAGAAATACTGCAGGCATCTTGTCTATCAGAATAGCAAAACCAGTGTAGTTCATCTTGTAGTAATCTTTCTTTACACCATGGGTATTCATAGTAGTGTTTGAAGTGGAGAGGAATAAATGCAAAAGCTGAAGAAGACTCCTTTGAATCTTGTATCCAGGTTGTAGGAAGGGGGGTGTGGGTGTAGCTGGGTGCCTGCCTGCGTGGGACTGGGCCCGGTCGCCCAGAGATCTGATCCTTTCCTAGGTTCCTAGGAGTATAATGAGGCATGTGAAAGGTGGCCTGATTTGAGATAGCATATTTAATTTCTCTGATTTTGGGGACTTAGATATGGAGAGCCATATACAGATCTGTGTGTGTGTGTGTGTATAAAAAAATAAAATTCCCTTCTGCTTGTGTTTCCACTACATTATCTGTAAATGCATCGTGGCCAAAGGTGACAGTCCTGATTAGTGTGGTGGAGCCCACTTACACAAGTGTCTTTCATGGAAAAGGCAGCCTTTGATCAGCGGCGCTTGGGTAATCCATCAGGCCTCCTACACACCTACAAAAGAGCTCTTTCATGGCAATATCTCAAAGCCTGCTGGCATTCTCAGAGATTATAATGTATTTTTACATCCGGTCATTCCATTGAAAGAAAATGTGCAAATTAGTTTTATACTGTAGATGAACGGCAGAGAATCAGACACCAGATCTGTGCTTAGGTTGTCTTCTACTTTTGCTGTATCCTGATATATTTAAAATAGTTTTCTGCGTGGACAAGATGTCTTTTGTGTAGTTTGGGGGTTTGGGTTTTTTTGGTGTGGTAATGTTTTTTTTTATTTTGTCAAGTCTTTAGATCCAGACTCTGTGCTCTCGCCTCTGTTTGTTTATAGGCCACCTACTACTTAGCTCTGCACAAATTACCAGGCTTTCAGCTGTTCCCTTAACAGCGCTTGTGCTAAATTTTAGGTCTCCATCTTGAGTTAGAGGGTAATAGCCGACTCCTCCAGACTTCACTGCACTGGTCTTCTGTACCACTATGGAGTGGATGTTTTGCAAAGTGGTGAGAAATGAGGTGGTGGGTATGGAGGGCTCTCTGTTCTTTATCAGCTGTTAGGCTAATATTTATACCTAATTATTTTGATAATCTTTTTTTATATACTAGCCTTGATGATGATGCTGTTTGCATCTAGGCTTGTTCCTGTTTCTTCCTAGTTACCTGTGTTTCTTTGTGGTTTCTTTTTCTAACGAGGCTCTGGATATCAGTCTGTCTGGTACACCATCTGCTGAGATGCTCTGCTTTGCCACCTTCTCCCTCCCTCTCTCCCCCAGGGTGCGAGCTGTGCTGGGTGTCGTAATAGGGAAGTGCAGACACTAGTTTGTTTGCCACCTTCTCCCTCCCTCTCTCTCTCCCCCAGGGTGTGAGCTGTGCTGGGCGTCGTAATAGGGAAGTGCAGACACTAGTTTTGGAAATGCTCTTTGTGGCTTGGTTGTAAAGCACTTTGCAATAGGTGGAGGGGGAGCTAGTTATAGAAATATATCCCCTTGTTCCTTTTTCCCCACATTTCTGGTCCTGAGCACAGCTCAGCCTGTTGGAAGATGGTGACATCATGCTGCCATTGCCCAGAGTCCCTGCTCAATCAGGAGCTAATTGGTTTGGAAAAAAACTTTGCGAACCCAAGGGGGTGAAAAGTGTTTTATGAAACCACTGCCTTTATTTTAACCCAGTCTCTATTATTCTGCTTGCTTGGAGGCTAGTTCTGCCAACTGCTAGACAGGTTCTTTTCTTATTACCAAAGGGAGCTGTGCATTCGTGGATCTTCTCCAAAAAAAAAAAAAAAATCCAAGAAAAAACTCAGTCTTGTGAGAATGGTAGAAATGACTCCTGTAAGCACTGTTCGTTTCTGGCTAAGAAATCCTCTCATACCTGTTAGGCCTGAGAGGTTGGTTTTTTTGCTATGTTTTATGTCTCTGCTTATTGTTTTGTCCTTCTACATATTCATGTTGGAAAGCCAGTTTTACTACTATTCTTCTAGGAAAGAACAAAAAGTTCCTCTGGAATAGCAGCATCCAGAGACACTGTGGTAAAACAAGGATTGAAAACTGTTCAAAGTAAAAAAGCAGCCATTAACTTACCTGTAGCTCTGTTAGCTTGCTAAATGCAGTCATCTTTATTGCTGAGTTCCTCTATTACCAGTCTAATTTTTCAAGGTGAAGTTGTTTTCCTGCCTGTTCTTTGGCAAGCAGGTTGCCTGTCACTCTGCACACGTGCGTGAAGCATGTCCTTCTCCCTTCCTTTTCACCATGAGTTGGAAAGGTGGGTGGGAGAGTTTGGAACACCGTGGCAGAAAGTAGAGAGTGTTTATACTTGTGACAACTGCTGCCATGTCCTTTTCAAGATGAACGTTACACGATGAGCTTTAATGGACTCTCCAGTTGCAAGCTGTCCCTTGGATGCGTTGCTTTAGCCTTTCCGTATTGTTCCATAGGGTGGACCATCACCCACTAAAAGCTCTTCTGCAGAGCTGTGGTCAGAAGAGCCGCGCTGCGTGGTCACAGCGTATCCTCTGTTCGTAGTTCTAGAAATGCCTGTGTAAGAGAGGCCACCCAAGGGACTTGTCTGAAAAGACAAATGTCAGGAAAGAGAAATGTTCTGGGTGTTTAATGTTCCTGGCTTGGTGGTTGTTCTGTGTGGTTGAGTTGTGTTGCCTTTGGACCTGTAGTTTTTTCGTATTAGCAGCGCTCAGTTTGTCAGTCCAAATAAGACTGGTTTTCCTGCAGCTGCTGTGAGAAATACTGAGCTTTGAGGAATATTGGAGGCTTGCGGTGCGCTGTAGGCATTGGCATTGATAAATGAGAACCTAATCCACAGTTTTTTGTACTGGAATCCTCTTTCCTCCCTTGGTCGCTTCATTGAATTAAGCAGATAATTCTGTGCATACTCAGCTTCTCTTGCTCCTAATACAGTGATTATTCTTTGGTGCCTGGAAGAATATTTAATTTATAGAGCTTTTCCATGAGTAATAAAAGCACTTTGTTAATAGATCTTTAGTCCTTAAGGCCCAGGAATAGTTTGTAAAATCTAGTCTAGCCACACAGCTGCCGCTGGCCAGTGTGTCACTGGTGGCTTTTGGTATCAAACGTCTATTCTGTGGTGCCGAGAGCGTGGCTTTTGGTAGTCTTTCAGTATTGGGTTTTGATAAGAGCAGACCTTAAAAAGACCTTCTTTAAATTTTACTCCAAAGAAAATTTCACCTAAATTGCTGGCAGTAAATTATTTTTTCCTTCTCTTTTACAGAACGAGGCTATGATCCCTACAATCCAGAGCTTCCAAGGCCCTCGCTGGAGGCGGAGGATGGCGCTCTGGCTGACATTACAGATGTGACACCCGGTATTCTGGAGCTGGAGCTGGTCAACAAGGCCATTGAGGCAGTCAAAAATGAAGTTGAGAGAGAGCAGAAAAAGTATGAGGAGCTGCTAGAAACGACAAAGGAGTTCAGTGCTTCAGAGGCCTCCTCGCTCATTTCGAATACGCCTGTATCAGCTGTTGGGACACAAAACGATTCATTTACCTCCTTAGAATATAATCCAGGTAGCTACAACTTTAATAATAACTCGGACTACAACCCTACTCCTCTCGCTGCTGCTAGCCGGTCAAGTAAATACACTTTGGATACTTCCCGATCTAAAGGTAGCTCACTGGAATATGTTCCCAAGGCTGTAGTACAGAATAAAAAATACAGTAGCACTGTCACTAACAATAAATATGTGATTGATGACTCTAAGCCTTCCACAGACTTGGAATATGACCCACTTTCAAATTACTCAGCCAGGCTTTTGAGCAAAGCCACAACAAAGGAGCCAAAGGGGTCTAAAAGGGGTAGGGTGTCTAGTTATGACGAATCTTATTCTCCATCGCGAAAGAAGCTCTGTGAAGTACCCGATGACTATGAAGTGTGTGCCAGGTTCTCTTCCTCTGAAGATGAGGCTGATGTGGAATATAAGCCAACTTCCGTTAGTTCACAATCAAAAGCTGGTTCTGAAAGTGAATCAAATGATGGGTTATCCAACAAAGAGCAGAGCACCAAACTGGATGACTTTGCTTCCCAGGATAGCAAAGAAGCGGCAGCACAATATGGCGTGGAAGACCTTCCAAGTTCACAGAAAAGTCTTTCTAAAAACTTACCAGACAAGAATGCAAAAGCAGCAAAATTATGTTCTGGTAAAAACGACCAGGAAATTGAAAATAAAAACAAAGACTCAAAAGACAAAACGAAAAGGAAGAAATCGGATGTTAGTAAAACACCTAGCCTCAATGAGGTTGGTAAGAAGGAGAAAAGTAAAAATACAGAAAAAGACAAAGTGCTCAAGAAAGAAGACAAATTAAAAACCAAGAACGAAGAGAAAAACTGCAAAGATAAAAGTGTCAAAGTGAAAACCGATGTGAGTTTAAAGAAGCCTGAAAAACAAAAGTCAGAAAAAGTGGATGGGCTTAAGAAAGAAAAATCCAAGTCCATCAGCAGTAGTTCAGGGAAAAGCAAGAGTGAGGGTGTCATCAAAGGCTCTAGTATGGAGAAGCTGGGGAGCAGCAAGAAAGACTCCAAGCTGAAAACAGCTGACGTGAAAAACGGTAAGGAAACCTGTGATCGTAAAAACAAAGAGAAGGGGACCAAGACTCCAGCACTGGAGCGAAAGAAAGAAAAGGTCAGTTCTACAGAAAAAGGAGATCCAAAGAAGGGTCGGAAGCAGCAGAGTTTGAGTCATGTTGACCTGTTTGGCGATGAGAGTGGAGATGATGATGACAAAGGCCGGCCTTTACCATCCACGTTACTTGGCGTGAGCTCAGACTCAGATGTTGATGACTGTGGTTCAGACTCTGAGAATGAAAATGAAGGGACAAAGAAAGTGAAGCGCTCTAAATTGTCAAAGTCGTCGTCGTCTTCCTCAACATCTGATGACATTGATTATTCCATCCTTGAGAAAGACTTGGACTTTGAGTCAGATCCAATGGAAGAGTGTCTCAGGATTTTTAATGAATCTACAGATGTGAAAACTGAAGACAAGGGAAGGCTGGGGAAACAGGTAATGCTGGTTTGGTTGGTTGGTTCTCTCACATCTAAATGTGAAAGGATTCTGGTTTAGTTTAGTGGTGTTGCTTATTTCAAGTAGCTGAAGAGGGCTACAGAGGGGGACTCCATATGTTGGAAGAATCTCGTCCTTGTCATGACTGAGTGCTTTGAAGAGTTTGCACTTGAATTTACCTCCTGGATTGAAAGCTGCTGTGAAATGTAAGGATTCAATTACATTTTGTGTGGAAGGCCTTTAGCTTTCAGGGTTATCAGTTACTTCTGTCTCCATCTGGCCTAAGAACCATGGTGGCCTGGATGACTGGAGAAAAGGCTTCAGAGAGTATGTTGTGTGTGTTTCAAAGCTAATCTAAGTTTGCTAATCTGGGCGATGCCTTCTTGTTGCAGCATAGTTTACGGAACGTGGTGGCAGGTAGAACCAGGACAATGTGTTGGTGTAAGTCGATGTAGTTGGCACTGAACGCTTTGGAGACTCCCCAAATTACTGTTTTCTATTTTAAATGCATACTGCAGATATTTTACGAGGATCTCTGGATATCTTGTAGGTGGTGCAAATAAGAAATGGAGGGTAAAATTTCTTCAAAAGGTACAAGGGGTTTCAGAATAAGGAGGTAAAAAGACAGCATTTACATAAAAAGGCTTCTGCCAGTGACTGTGAGGTGGTCCCCAGAGGATGCAAGAAGCTCATTTTCCAAGATTAAAACAGAACGGAGCAAGTGTAAAAGGCTAGAAAGCAGCTGCTGGCAGTGATCCTCTGACAGCCTCTGAGGCAGGGAAGTAGGAGCAGACAAAATTCGTCCTTCATCTTCTGACATCCGAGTTCGACTGGGCAGCAAGAGCAAACCCTCGATCCCGGGAGCGGCTGCCTGTGCATGGGCAGGATTGTTTGACTTGCTGTCCAACCCAGCACGCCCAGGTTTTCTGGTTGGGATGATTTTGCTTGCGTACAGAGCAGGTGTTCAGCGGATTGGATTGGGAAGAGCTTTAAAAAAAGAAAAAGGTGACAAATTTGGCAACGCTGAGAAAACGCCCCAAACCTGTCTCTAGCGCTGTCTGTCTGGCACATCTGACTGCAGTGCAGAGGTACCGGGGTCGCTGAGCCAGCCGTATTACCTGGGGGGCTTAGTGTGGGGCAAAGTGACAAAATCAGGTGCCCTCTGTGCGCGGGGGGACAGAGGGTGCCAAAGGCCGAGTGCATCTATCCAAGGAATTACTGAGTGGCTTCAGCTGCAGCTGTCCTGTGTCCAAAAGATAACGGAGGTACTGGGACTCCATCAGGGCTTCCAGTGTGGTCCAGTTTAGGCCCCTTCAAACACAGCAAGTCTCCCTCTGGGATTATTGATCTGAAGGAGGGGCAGGGCGAATGCAGCAGGAACCACGTGACTGCATGGTGGAAAGCCAATTTCTCCTGGTTGTTTGTTGACTTTTATTCTAAAAGTGGCATCAGGAATTGGTGCTGGTTTTCAGGCATTTGTTAGTTGGGTGGGTGAAGTGGCCGTGAACAAAATTCTTCCATTCATGACCGTCTGTGTGTGGAGGACAAAGTGAGCCGGGATCTGCAGCGTGGGGAGGAGACCTCATCTTTTGAAAAGGATAGCTGGACTATTAACGCTTTTTGCTGAACACTCTGTTGCAATAATGTCCCCGATCTTTCTGAGAGAAGTCTGTGTTGCTGACAAGTAAAGACCTTTTTTACACTTGTATGAAATGCCTTGGTAGAAGAAACTATATAAAGCAGTTGTGTGTAATGATTTTCTTCTGAACTATTAAGCATTACTTGATTTTGCTTGTTTAAAATTCAGCTTGCTGTCTTCAGTGTTTAGTGTAATTCCCAGCTAGGAATGAGCGCGTTATTTTTGGCTTTGTTTCTTCAGATTGCCTGGTTTAAGTGAAAATAGTATAAGGGCATGCAATCTGTAGTGGGAAATATTAATCCATTTAGAGCTTTCCAAATACGGAATGATTCAAAATGGACTGAATTCAGAAAGTGCTGAACCAGGGCCTTCCACTCACTGCAAACAGTTAATTCTGGCATGGAGTGGCAATGTTCAGCTGTCAGCAGCCACGTGTGTTTCCTTTGCACGTGCTTTACCTTATATCCCTGCACTCAAATTTTAATTTCCCCCTGTTTTGGAAAGGGAGGAACAAGCATTGCAGCTGAGGGGTCCTTTTTTTGCGAGGTGGGTGTTTGTAAGTAGGTACTTGCTTCCCCGCTGCGTTTCTGGCAGGTGGGATTGGTCACGGGGAATTTTTTTGTTTATGGAATGATTTTGTAGATGGAGCTTGTGTGGTTTGGTCTCAGCAATGTGCTAGTCCGGAGGGAAGGTACATGTGGGCAGTGCGGTACGTTTCCACCAGGAAGGATCACTTTGTGAGAGAGTTTATTAGGGATGTAACTGAATTAACAGACTTACTGAGTGCCTAGAGAGCGAAGTGATTCAGTGTGAAGTGCTCATCCAGAATGCCCTTGTGGTGATGAACACAAGCTCAGCCTAAGTGGAGTCTAAGCTCATCCCCAAATCCAGCCTTCAGCTCTGTCGCTGAATTTCTAAGAGATTGTCAGGTTTGTCTTTGCTCAGAGCTTTGCCAGGGATTGTGTTGGAAAACTGAAAGCAAGATTGACTGGAGAGCAGCTAGAGTTTTGAAAAATAAACTTGTGAAGTGGGTTTTGTATAAATGAACAGCCGAGTCAAATTCAAAGAAGATTTTAAAGTGGTTCCCCCGCCCCCCCGGCAGCAAGTCTGAGATGTTAGCTCAGAAGTAGCTTTAGCTGGGGAGGTGCTGTTACTTCTTCCTGGGTTTCTGGCCGTACAAGTGTGTGACCTGGGGATTTGTCACCACAGTCTTTCTGCAGATACAGCTGTGGATAAAACTGCAGAGAAACGTTTCCCTAAACGTGGAGTGGGGGCACCGTGGTTTGGCGTCGAGCAGGTTTTCAGGACCTGCTCTGGCAGCACGTTATGCAAGAGCAGAAATGAGTCAGCTCCCAAATTCTTACCAAAAAAAACCCAACCCAAACCCCCCTGGATTTTAAGAATGCCATGAAAGGTGTGAGGTGTGTGAGCGGCTGGCAGGAGAAGGGTGTTCAAGTCTCTCGTGGCAGGGAGGGGCTGTCCTGAATCATGCCAGTGCTGCCAAGTGCACAGCAGTGCACTCGTGGAGTGACTGCTTGGGTGGGAACTGTAATGCTGCTGTTCGCTGGCTTCGTTGGTGGCTCTTGGGTTCAAAGCAAGGTTTGTTTTAGTAGTTCAGCAGCTGACCACGTGTTGTTCTCACCTGCCACCTGCAAGGACTTTCTGTTAACCCAAAAAGAGACTTTTCAGATCTCCTCATTGAGAGGGATCTTCAAGTCTGTTCAGTTTTGGAAGCTTGTTCTTTTGTTTTCCAGCTATCCAAAGAGGAAGGAAATGAAGAAAAGACAGAAGATAATTTAACTACCTTGTTTCCTGGCCAAAAAAGAAGGATCTCTCATCTTGTCAAACAAGGAAATGTAAGTGCAGCTCTTAGAAGCAAAAGTTTAGATTCTTTAAAGTGAGGATTTTCTGTCCTGTTATGACGCTGGAAAATGATGCAGTCCCAGGTTCAGGCAGCAGCGTACGAGTTGTTTGTGCTGGAATCCGTCTGTGTCAGATTTCTTTCCTCCCCTTTCTGATTTCTGAAAAACGTGTTTAGGCATCTTTTACAAATGGCAGCAAAACTCTAATGAACTTTTGTAAAACCAAGGGTAGGCTGTGGAAGAGTAAGTGGATTCTGCACCTTGAACTCCTTGGGATAGATTGAGATGTTCATTTTTCTACAGTATAGCTTCATTCAATCACTTAGATAAAAATTAGCTAGACACAAGGTCAGTCTGTGTCTGATGGTACTTTCATTTGTCTTGTGGACCTAAAAGATAGCTGTAGGAATTTTGTCAGGTGTTTAAAACCATTACTTTATATCTGTTCTGAATCAGCCAAGACATCAACAGTATCTTGTTTGATACTCTTCTTTCAAAATTGTGAAAATACTTTAAATACAGAGGAGAAGAATTAAAAAAAAAAAAGGCAAGGAAGACATTCTGATTTTTTTATTTCTTTCTCACTGGGATTTTAATTCATGTTTTCTCTGAGGGTTTAATGTGTTTCCCTCCAGGTGCTGAGCACAGATTAGTCAGTTTTATGTTCCAGCAGGATAAGAGTGGAGACTTACACGCTGATTTGAGCTGGGTAGTCCAAATTAATTGTTCTTCCTTTCCTCTCTGTCTGGAAAGGGTTTCTTTGCTTTTAATAATTTGAAGCCCTGAGGTCAATACAATGCATTTTACTTAACTACATATCTTCAGCCAGTTCATGTGTTTTGATAAGGGCCCTTTCTTCCAAAGTGAAGAGATAAGAGACTGAAGCAAATGGGTTGGAAATTCATTAACTCAAATATTTATTGTAAATAGGTGCCTTTTAGACATGTACAAATCTTTAAATACATTCTCTTAATGTGACAGCTGATCCCAAAATGCTTTCCAAAGATGTGAGCCCCAGCACAGCCATTGCATGGGCAAACAGAACCGATCTGATGTGCTCAGCAGCAGCTGCCGTGAGCACACACCGGGACGTGCGTTCCCTGGAGTATCTCAGCTCGGCGCTGCTGCCAAGTCTGTTCAGGAGGTGCCGTGAGACCTGAACTGCTGCTTTTATGTGCAGAGTTGAGGCTCGTGCTTTGCTGTGTCCCTCCAAGTCGAGTATTTGCTCAGTCTTGCTTGTGATTCATAGCTCAAGGACTGAGCAAGCAGAAGGGGAGGGAGCTGAGTTCTAGTTTAGTTGCCGGGGGAAATGGTGGACCAAAGGAATTGAAGGTGAGGCAGAAAATTAGTGTCCTGTCCTGCTCGGAAGTCTGTAATTATAATTTGATGGCTGACTGCACTCAGTTTGGTATCCAGAAGCTGGTGTCAGCATCAGACACCAGGAATGCAGGAGGTGCCAGCTTGCCCCCAATTTGCGGTCTCAGAAACGCCATGTTACACATGGGCTGTGCGAGCGCACCCTTCTCTGAAGAAATTTCAGGAGGGAAGGCCTGTTTCTCAGATTTCAAAGGTTATTAAGTAGTGTGGAGAAGTTTGTACTACTGCTGCTTCTCTTGTACTTCTGCTGCTAGAAAACTTCCCTCTTTGCTGACATAATTTCTGGCACCTTTCCTGCAACCTAAATTTGGACAGCAAAGAAAACGCATGTGTAACTTGTTTGTGCTAGTAAGGGTTGAAGCAGTGAAATGCCTCCAGAAGTAGGCAGGGGCAGAGCCCATTTAAAATTCAGAGCTCAGTTTATGTAATGCTCTAATCCCATAAATACATATATGTGAGACTTTTAAGTAGTTACAGGAACTAGAGACCTGAAACAAGGCTGCTGAGAGGTGGGGAGCTGGTGTAATGCAAGGGTAGGTGGCACTGGTTCTTCAGCATGGGAGAGACAGAGAGGGAGAGAGCTGTAAAACTCAGCATCGTGTAGCAAAGGGGAATGGAGAATAGTTGATCGCTTTTTCATTGCAATATAAACAAAAGAAACATGCAGTAGGCAGCATGGGGCTAGCTTCATTTTCTAGTGCAAGACTGTAGAGCTGAGTATTGACAGAGTCCAGAAGTGGGTTAGGCACAGGTGATGGGGAACATCATGCCATTAAACAAGCAGTTCAAATGCCACCTACCAATTTAGGAACATGCCAGAGTGCTGGGAGGCCTTGCCTGGGGGTGAATCATTAATGTCATGTTTTTTAGCGGGTGACTAAATATTTTGTTCTGGAAGACGGTTGGGATCTTCTCCTCTCAAAAACCTCTATTTGCTAACAGAGAGGGGTTGAGGAAAAGAGACCTTTCTTGGGTGAATGGAAGCCAGAGGGTGGGGATTGAGCAGGTGAGCATGCTGGCTCTAAAACTTTTTGTCTGTGCAGGCAGAGGTCCCGAGCAAGCCTGTAATCCGGCCGTACCGTCCCCCCACCGCTCAGGAGGTCTGTTACCAGAGGATCCAGCTGGCTCAGCAGCAGGCGGCACAGCTGGCTGTGGCCGTTCAAAAGGCCTCTCTTTCTTTGCCAGGAGAAAAGAAGAGGATTGCTCACGTGCCAAATGTAGCCCTTTCCACAGCAGCCAAACAAAGTAAGCCAGCAGTGTTATTTGTGATCGCTGTCCTGTCCTCCCCCCTGTTAAAAGACACTGCCTTCTGTTTAAACTTCTCCCGAGCAGATGTGAAACTATCAGGAGATGTGTAGCATTGACCGTGACTTGAATCTTCGCTGATAGTGACCAGTGGAAGGTCTTTGCCCTCAGAAATTCCATCCTGTTCTGAAAAGCAACAGACCAGACGTACAGCCCCGTTCCCCCGTCTGTCTCCCCCAGCCTCCCTCACTTCAGCCTGTTCTTTTTCTGTTTCTTCCTTGGAGCGCGTTTGCTTCTCATTCGCTCTTCCATTCAAGCCTTCAGCGGTGGCACGAACAGGAGGGAAGTACTAATTAATGCTCATTGGTATCCCTTTGTAGCTGGAAGGACTCAGAGCTGACGTGATGGGCAGTTAGTGCATTGTAGCTGACAGGGTTACCTCTTTAAACTCTGCTGACTCAGTTACCCCAAAACAAACAGAAATGAGGCACGTTTCCTGGCAGAAGGTTCCTTCATCCTTGCCTGGAAGGTGGTAAAATTACCCAATTTGTATCCCTTTGAGGCTTCCATTCAAAAAAAAAATCACATCTTGCAGCATGGGCCTTTTACAGTAAGTTCATTCTGTCAACTTGAAGTTCAGTGGTAGGATTTCTACCTAAATACGTTTTCTGTTTCTTGCAGGCCTCGTGAGTAGTAAGACGACTGTTGCTGGCAGGAGTGTCACACCTTCCAATGACTCTGAAGCACCCACCCTTTCTCTGAAGGCTTGCACCTTAGCTGGGATGGCTTCAAAGACCACCAGCACCATCGTGCCGAAAAGGATAGCACATGTTCCCTCCTTACAGGTAAGAGAAATTTGAAATCTTTCTGGTCATTCCCCATCGAGGGTGCTATGTTTAACCATGCTGCTCCAAACTTAGCACTCTCTGAAGAGCGGTGTTTTGATTAGGTTGATTAAATGGGTTTGTTTCTTCCTGTGGTTTTCCTCGATAGCATTGTATAAAAAATTAAACACTTGAGGGGTAGGAGCTTAAAAAGATAGAAATACTTAAGTGCTGCTCTGATCTCTTTGAATATTGATCGCTCATCTTCAGTTTGAGTCGTCGTCTGTTGTGCTGTCTGGCTAGGTGTGTAGCTCTTTGTGTCAGGGACCTGGAGCCTCTCGTGTTCAAAAGGCATGGCTGGATTAATGCCCTTCCTGGGCTTTGTGGGCCGTACTGAAGAAGGTGGTTATGAATAATGTCCCACAGTGACCTATATAGTTAAAATGTGATCATTTAAACTTCATGCTGCTGTTAATATTTGGGGAAAAAACCTCTCTCTCTCTCCCCCCCCCCCCCCCCTCCTGGGATACCTGCCCAGCATTTGGGTACTTTTGCTATGAGTTCCTTAGCAAAGGAGTCCCTCCTTTCCCCATGGGCACTGGGAAACATCTTACTCGCTAAGACAATTCAGAATAGAGTTCCTCATGTAGCAGCATGTGGATGGCATAAGAAGCTGTTTGCTGGTGTGGATGGCAAGGAATGTGGTTAGTGCCAGGACTTGATTAAAGATACCTTTATTGATGATACCTTGTGTCAAGATATGTCATAACATACTCTGATTATTTCTGTAGGAGTGAAAAGTCATTTTCTTCCTTCCCCACCCAAAAAGCCACCATAGTAACATATAACTTGAAGCTGATTAAAAATAAAAGAAACAACTGAAAGGATAAAATATTTACCAGTGTTACAGAGGTGCTTAAGGGTATCATATTAGAAGTTGAGAAAATATATATAGGTAATGAAAAGGACCAAATTCCCTTGAACAGGGCATCAAAGTGGAAGTCTCATGAGCAAAATGAGCATGCTTCCCATTGAGGTAGGACCAGTTGCTCCCCTTTGAACATGCTCATATCTTTTGTAGAGCTCTTTTTATTACAGATTGCAGCAGATGGTTTGGTTTATGGATATCTCTTGGGCGGGATGGAGAAAGACTGACAAAACAATTGGGTGGTTTAGAGGTGAACATACGGTTTCTTCTCCAAAAAAGAGACAAATTGTGTTGATTTGGCGGATAAACTGGTGTTAAATGGAAAACTGCAGTGGTAGGTCATAACTCGGTCCAACATGCAGTTTTTATGCATGAAGATGGTGTCATTCAATTTAAGGGGGAAATCCTTTCATGATTCGCATTAAAAAAGGAAGAAGACAACCCAATGCAGTAAAGTTACAGGAATCCCACAGAAAGCGTGATGATTTAGCTGGCTGCTAGCCTGGCGGGAGTCGCCCTCCCATTCCCTCTTCACAGCCAGAGCACTGAAAAGAAAACCATGTCTGTCGTGCGCATAACTGGTGTCATGTGTTCACGTCTCCAAGTCCAAGCGTGGTGCTTGGTACCGTGCTAATCTTGAATCTCTTAATGTAAACGTCATCATTTTCATGGTCTGGGATGCTTATATGTGTAAGTGTAGTGTTGTGACTAATGCCACTGGGAGTCCTTTGGCATGGATGAGTTGCATAATGAAGCATGGTTGTTTTTTGAAGTAGTGCAAATACTGAAGGTGGCACAAAAGCTTAAAGTGGTGTTTTTAGTACCAAAAATGATGCATGTTATGTTTAGCTTTGGGCAGATTTTCAGAAAGGAAGTCATGCCACTATTAATAACGTAGCAGGAAATGTGAGAGTCTCAAAGCAACATACTTCTTAAACCCTGAATAGCCTCTTTCTCTCTCTCTCTCTGTCTCATCTCTAGAGCACCAGCTTACAGAGGCCTGTTATTCCCACAGAATTTGGTGCTAAAGTCCCAACAAACATTCGTCAAAGATATCTCAATCTCTTCATTGATGAGTGCCTGAAATTCTGCTCTTCCTCCCAGGAGGCATTTGACAAGGTCGGTACTGATGCTTGTTTCTTATGAATAAAGTCTGCAGCAGAGAATAACATCCTCTGCCTTGGCTAAGACCTTCTAAAATTGCAGCAAACCCAGAAAACTCTCCTATCCACATACAGTTCTGTAGAGGAGACTGGCATTAAATAATTCCAGACTGGACAACAGAAAATGTAATTCCAGGGGGAGTTTCCAGTAGGAAATCCCATCTTTCCCTTCATTTGGAAAGCATGCACCATCTTTTTAATAACCCCGGAAGAGGGACGTAGGGGAATGTGCATTATGGTCAAGCTGGACAAAAAGGCCTTTTGCTCTGGTACAGCAGCAAACACCTCCTGGAACCTGAGTGTTCAGCAGCGGTAAGTGTTTGAGATAGATGTCATTGGTAAAACTTGCCGCTTATGAACTGTGAGGCTTTAAGGAGCCTTCTAGCAGTAGGGAATAATATAATAGGATTTCCAAAAGCAGAGTTGAGAAAGTAATGCGTTTTATTGGAAAACTTTGGCCATTAATGTTAGTTGGGTAAACATGGGACGTTGTGTGGTGTGTTCTGTGACCAAAGCAGATGCCACAAGGATTTCTTTTGTGGGATTTCACCTTCACAGCTCCCTAGGGGGAATGTTCCTGTTGCATCCAAGGAGTGACCGTTTGCCAAACTTCCTTTTCTTGCCAGTTAAGATCTTGCAGTGCCACTGAAGTGGGGAAAACAGCTTTTCCCAGGCAGTTCCAGAACTGCTTTGTTAATCTGTCAGGGAAAGTTTCACACGAAAATGCTTCTTCCAGCACTTTGTTTAAAATACAATTTTTTTTTTTCTCTTACTCGCCTAAGCAGGCCCCAGAACGAGTATATATTTGTGCCATGTTCCACTTTATTACTCGATTCCTTGACAGGCAATTTTTTTTCCTGTCATACTTGGATTCTGTATTTTAAGAGCCAAACGTTTCTTTACTCCAAAAGCAGTAGTGGAAAAGAGAGTATGTAGTAATGAATTGCATTGTTTGCAGGCTCTGTCAGAAGAGAAGGTGGCTTATGAACGTAGCACCAGTCGCAACATCTACCTGAATGTGGCAGTGAACACCTTAAAGAAGCTCCGAAGCCTAGTGCCCAATTCCCCGTCCAGTACGAACAGTACGTACCACATTTGTGGTTTAATAATCGGAGCCCTGCTTGGATTAGAAGCCACGGAGAGAAACTTGTTGAAAAGACAGACCCATTTCTCAGAAGCATTATGCTGAAAGGCAAACAACTCCAGTTAGCTTTTTATAGTCTGGCAAGCTTTAATGGGCCTTCAAGAGGCAAGTCCTGCAATGCTTTGTTGGCTGTCTGAACCTAAATGGAGATAATGCCACATGGATTTTTTTTTAGCACAAGTTCTTTAAAATGAAAAGCCCCGCTAATGGAGTAACTTTCACATGATGCCTTCAAAGTGATAGACTCGTCCATCACCACAGAAATCTGTTACACACATTAAGCTTCAAGAGAGAAACGAAGAGGGTTAAGACATTTCATTATTGGCTCTCGAGAGGGTACATTAAACAATCAATTTGTGCTGTTCTTGTGAATTTTTTTTTTTTCCTGGTCTCTTCCCTTTTCTCCCCTCTGTCTTCATTACCTTCATGGCCATTAGTCAGAGCAGCTGAACTTGGGAGGCTGGCCTTTAGGAGAGGGCTGCCAGTTAATGATTAGTAAAAAGCACCTATCTGCCATTATCTGATGTGCTGAGCATATTCTAGAGCTCTGAAGCTCCTTTCTAAAAGAAGTTGAAAGATTCAGCGTGGGAGTCTGGTCTGCAGGGACCTAACAACAAAGCTGCTCGCTGTGGGTGGGTGATGCCACTGTGAAGCATGTGGCTGGGTCGAGTTGCTTCTGTGATTAGTCCTCTCTTGCTTTTGGTCAGTAGGAGGGCTTGCTATGCAGAGTAAGCAGGTAGAACTACCAGAGTTTCCAGGGGAACTGTAAAAATGTCCTTGCTGCCCTTAAAAAAAAGTTGCTGTGGGCTGACAGTGCAAACAGAAAGCTCCCCATAGCACTGGAATGAAAATGCTAGGCCACCACCTTACATGTGCCAATTTCTGGAGCGGAGCAAGAATTCAAGAGCATAAATGCAGTCCTCCTTTTGCCGATGTGTAGTGCCCCAAACTCGAGGACTGAAGTCACTCTTACTCAGCTGGGTACCTGATCTCTGTCCTGTTTCGCTTCTTCCCTCTTCTTGCTGCAGAGACAAGTAACAAGAAAGTGGTGTCTCATGAAGCTGTGCTGGGAGGGAAGCTTGCTGCTAAGACAAGCTTTACTCTAAACCGGTCAGGGAGCTTGAGAGCAGAGGATTTAACAGGTAAGACCCTGCTCCTGTGAGGCTGTAACCTGTAAGGTTATGGCTGGAGGTCTAACGCTGTGACTGGGGAGGGCAGGATCTGGCTGATGCATGACGTGCTGTGATTTACCTGCGGGCCAGTGTTATGAGTTATTTCCTATGGGCAGTACAGTGCTGCAGAGTCCCTCGGTGAATGCTACGCCACTGATCAGCGCCTTCCTTGCTTCCCCGCTTTGGGCTGCGAGTTCACTGATGTAGTTCGCGTGGCTTTGATGTAGCATCAGTAACTGTTCAGAGCTGCCTCTTGTGTTTTGGGTATTACTGACTTTTGGGCTTTTATTTCTGTCTGGATTTTACTTTAACTTTCTTGCCCTGAAGCAGTACTTTACAATGTGCCTGTCAGATTAAACGGCAAACTTACAAATATCTCCATCTGCTCTGCAGGGCTCAATTTCACGTTTACGAATGTCATAGTAAGGTCATATCGTAGCCAAAGGGTTGTGCCACAAGCATTATTCATGCTGGCTCAAATCGGTTATGGGTATTTTGGTTGCCAAGAGATGTAGGCAAATTGTTGAGGAGATCAGAGAAGAGACAGGGAGGCCACGGAGCAGAAGGAATTGACATGGAGAAAGCTTAAAAGGGCCTGTATAGTTCAGCTAAGCAACATCAAAGGGTGCACAGCAATATTGGAAGGGTTTAACGTAGCAGCGAAAGCAGAGATGTTGAGCAGAGTGCAAGAAGTTATAATTATTCTGTGAAATGAAACGAGCAGCCTGAAATCAACAGCAGGAAGAAAGCTTCTGACAATGAATTTTTTAGTTAGCTGTGGGTGGCCTTTGAGGGATATTCTTTGGACTGTGTTACAAATTATCAGTTAAAGCATTTAAAACATTAAAATGGGAGAAGTCTCACTTTGGTAACAAAAAGGCCTGAAGACGGGCCCTTTGGAGGAATTCTGTTTCAGCTGTGTTTTCCAGACTTTATGCTGGTTGTTGAAGAGGTTAAAAATTAGCTTGTGCACCAATGACCAGATTGTAAAAAAATACTGCTCTGGCACCTATTTCTGTGTCAATCCTGAGCAAAGGCAGTGGAAGCAAGTTGAAAATAGTGGGAGTCCCTGCCAGGAGGCTTGATAAAGCAAAAAACAGTAAGAGAAACAGCCCCTACTTAAGTGATCTGGCTTCAGCATTGTCTTTGTGTGCAGGAGCTGCCTTGTACCGGCGACTAAAGGAGTATCTCATGACTGAGGAGCAGCTAAAGGAAAATGGTTACCCAATGCCTCACCCAGAGAAGCCCGGTCGCGCGGTCCTCTTCACTGCAGAGGAGAAAAAAACAATTGACTGTAAGCTCTGCTGGCTCTTCCGTTCTGCAAGGTTTGCTAGATACATTACAACTGGAGACATCTGTCCTGCTTGCAAACGGTCTTTTTGCATAAAGATGTTCGTGGTCTCAGTGTGGAGCCATTTGCTCCTGTTGTGATGGGTCTCCTTGGCTGTGACCTCTGTCTCTGCAGGCCAGCCGGTCGCGGAGGAGAGGAGCGTGGCTGCGGAAGTCTGTTGCCTTTCTAGAGGATGAGTTTCTCCAGCTTGCATGTCACGAGAATGTTATTTTTGACACAAGGTTTATAGTTTGTGGCATGTGGGGCTGTGAGGCTGAGTGAGGTTTCTAATTGCTGCCAACGAATATGAATTGGTCAGGTTGCTTCCCTGGACAAGCTGCCTTCGGCCACCCCCTGTGAGGGCACGTGTTTTGCACTTGCTTACACAGTGCAAGTTTTAACTCCAACTTCGTTGCACTAACCTGGAGGCTGGCTGCTGCTTTTGCAAGGGAATTGATTGGAGAGAGGCTCCTGTTTAGCATCTGATGTCGCTCCCCTCTTCCAGGGGAAGCGTTTTTTTGTGTCTCTGTGCATATCAACTGCTGCTGTGGTGTGGTATGGGCTGACACTGGGCCAGGCTGGTTTTGCGGTGGGTCATGCTTTGCTGGTTTGGATCGCAGAGTTTTCTGCTTGATCTCTTGATAGCGCTGGGCCAAGTAGTTCTCAAAAGCCCTTTTTGCAACTGGACAAAATGATCCCCCAGGTTTCCTCAGGACAAGGTAGGGTCCTCTTCTGTCTGAATTTTCTGAACTCCTATAGCAGGATTTATGCTTCTCAAATGCTGATTAGAGCAGGCTGTGATGCAGCAGGGATAAAACACATACTTAGGATATATTTTGAGGTGCCTTGCCACACTCCTCTGAACATCTCTTTGGAGAGACCTTGCTAAAGTGTGTTAAGTGCTCATCCATGTTAACACCTTGTGTCTACATTTGTCCTGTGGTTGCTGAAGCAACCTGTGCGAAAGCTGTCTTGCATTAACACTGGTACTGTCAAGTACTGTATTTGTTAGAGCCCTTTTCTCCAGTTAACCAGCCGGCTCCTTTATATGATTCTGAGATCATGTTCCTGGTTCTGTTTCTGTAGTTTCCTGCAGATGTTGCAGGATCTTTGAATTTGTTCTTATTTAACTAAAGCTATTGCTAGTCTGTTAATGCTGCGACCATGGTCAGTGGACAAAAATGGTTTAGACTGGTGTTATGCAGAGCTGGGAATGTGCTAGCAGCTTAAATCCTCACACTAGAACTCAGGGAATTGCGTGGAGATCAGAAGCACGACAGTCAGCTCCTTTACTGTGGCTTTTTGCATCTCCTTTCTCTGAATTGTGGGCAGTACAAGTACAGATGACAGGAGGGAGAAGTCTGTAACTGACCCCTCAGTGGGCCAGGCTGTGCTGTAAGTGTTCCTGTTTTTAGATGCTGGAGAATCCTTACAGAAAAGCTGTGCCCAGGAAGAACTCGAATGTCATTTGGAAGTGACAAGGCACAGATCCCCTGGAAACGAGGCTTCATTAGCTCTGGTGTCCAAAGAATGACTTATTTATCCTGTTTCTTAAAATAACTGTGTTACAGTACAACGTAATTTGCTGTGGATGGAGAAACAATGCAGCAAATGTTGATGTGAACTGCGTTGGAGCTGATGTTGCACACCAAACCCACTAGGGAGTCTTATGTTTGCCTCTGAGAAGCGTTTGGGGGGCAAATGCTACAGGACTGCTTTTTCAGAGGGATTGCTATATCTTTATGGGAGTTTGAAACAACATTTGGAATCCTTTTTAACAGGAAAAGTTGTTTCACTGGTGTTTGGGGCTTGAGTGATTCTGATTTACTTGTGCTTTGGCCAAGTTTAACAGGTGAAGGATTTCTGTGACCTGACTCTTGCTTCTCTCTTCTCTTAAAGCCTCCTGCAGGATTTGTTGCCGCTGTGGCACTGAGTACATGGTCTCAGCCTCTGGAAACTGCATTCGCAAAGAGGAGTGTGTCCATCACTGGGGAAGGCTACGCAAACAGAGAGGTATATCTCGTCAAAGAGGGCTTAGTCACATGCTAGCTGTGCTCTAGCTCCAAACACAGAGTCTACATCGGGTTTGAGTTGCTGTGGAATGTTTTGTGGCTTTTGGGGCTTGTCGTGCTCGCAGGTTGTGACAGTTCCTAGTTTTGTCACTGGGTGGCCCTGCTGCTGCTGAAATAGCCTTGCGAAGAGCTGCTGGGGAGTAGTGGTACAGTCCTGAAAATGTGACACTGGGGCTGGAGCAGAGGTGGTTCATCTTTCTGTTTAAAAAAAGTAAAAGAAAAAACAAACCTTCCTGTGCCTTTTGAAAAAATCAGTCTTTTTTAGGAGGCTGACTTGGGAGCGCTAGATGTCTGTCACTGCCCAGGAGAGTTTACTGGTCTTGGTTGAATTCATTTGCAGCAAGACGCTAACCTAGTTTGAGCTCTGCTGTGGTTTTCTATCAAAGCATTCAGGTGGCTTCTGGAGTTTGTCTGGCTGAGTACGAGACACTTAAACTCTTTAGATTGCTGCATGCGAATCCATACTTATTTTTCCCCTTTGTTTGACACATTATTGTTGCTGTGCTCATCCAGGATATCTCTGCATGTGAGAGCTAAAGTTTAGGTCTCTTGTTAACAGGACTCTTCTCTTTTATCTCTTGCTCTTTCAGTGCCAGGTGGATGGGAAACTCATTACAGCTGCTGCTCAGGAGCTGTGGGTTCACCAGGCTGCCAGGTTGCTAAAGTAAGTTATTGAGCAACACCTTTTTATTCTCAGTGATGTTTGTCCTCTGCTTACAGTGGTGATGGCTGTGTAATCGTTGCTTAAGCCTTTAGAAGAATGGTGGCTTCCCTTAAGGGTGAAAAACAAGTACTTCTTAAATATCTTTTGCTATGCAAAGGTAGGAAAATACAATGTTTGGCAGGAAGGAGGAGACTCCTTGGTTGTCTGGAAGGAGGTAGTTTCATTTGTTCTAAGCAAATGCCAGTGGATTAAGCTGCCCAGCAAAAGCTCAGATACAGACTTCTTTAGGGAAACATTGAGGAAGTGAGGAATAAGGAATTTCCTTTTAAGGGGCAGTCTCAGGGCCTTGACAACAGTGTGCCAAAACCTCTTTCCCGTTTTTTCCTTTCCCAGATGCCCGTGCTAAGGTAACTTTCCGCTGTAGGCCAAATCTTTTCTTAGTTTTCTGTTTACAGCATGCCCTTTGTTGTATTAAGGGGAGGAACCTTCCCAAGGAGCCTGTTGTAACTCACAAATATTACTTCTCTTGAGGAGGGAGGGGGGGAAGGGATCCCAGCACTAGAAAGCGGAATGAAAAACCTGCGCAGGAATAGAGTTTTGGCCCTTTGATAGAGCTGAACACTGTTTGGGATACCTTTGCACAGGTGCTTTTTTTTTTTCTTTTCTTCCTTAGGCAACAGGAGAGTTGGCTTCCCAGCCTGGCATCACTGGTCCTCTCGAACCATTGACTGAAGGGAGCAATCCATCTTTTGCCTCTCCCTCAGGTCTCTGGGGATGCTCCTCGTCACTTGTTTCAGTGGCATTTTTATATTTGGCAGCTGCCATGCAGGGGAGAGGAGCATGATGCAGAACCAAGTGAGGGGGGATCTAAAAGGGTTGTGTCCAGTGGACGGGGCTCCCAGAGCATGTCTGTGATAAGGCACCTTCTTGTCCCACTGTTTGAAAGACCTCAAGCGATACAGGGCCAGCAAGGCTGGCTGTAGGTTTTGGAGAGGTGTGTGCCCTTCTTGTTCTGGCCAAAAGCTAGAGCTAGGAAGTGAATTCTGAGGCAAAATTCAAGGCTTGTTAAAATGGGAAGAATTGTCTGTATGGGCACCCTAAAAACCTGCCCTGCACAGTCTGAAGCATGGATGGGATCAGGCAGGCTGCTAGTTCTCCTGTTTCTTTTTCATGTGAAATTAGGATCTCTTTTTAATCAGTGTTCCAAAAAACATCCAGCAGGGAAGTCGGGAGAAATTGATGGGGCTATAAAAACATGACTTCTCTGCATGTTTTTGTGTGCCTGTTGTAGACCATAAAACCTCATGGCCTTTTACGAAATATACAATCTCTCTAATAGCCTCTTACTCAATGAAGCATGCCACCAGTGCTCCAGGGCTCAGGCATCCTTTCGCATCTGCCTCCTAGTTGTTGTGCTGCTACAGATCACTATGTTCTGGCTTTCTTGGTTTTCTCATCCAAATGAGCGAGTTTCACAGCATCCTTTGGTAGATTTAAGGTCGGAGTCCACAGATTGCTCAGGATGAGAGTATGCAATGAGATATTGGGATGTTTGGGCTACTGGGGAGCACAGTATCTTTCAGCTTTGGAGGAGGGCACTGAAAACAGCAAATATTTGTAATAAGAAACTGTTCTAAGGAACGAGATCCGTAGCTGGTTAGAAAAGCATGTCTGTGTCTTTTCCTTTCAAGTACGTTTGAGATGTGCCTGTCTGGATTATGCTGCAGTTAGCCAGTGTGGCAGGAGATGGCAGGATGGAGCTGTGCTCGTACCTGCAGCTCCCCGGGAGCGAAGGAGTCTGGAGCTGCTGTTCTTTGTGATAACCGAGTCTGCTTCGTTCTCTGGTCTGAAAAACAGAAGCAACTTTTCTGCCCTCCTCTCAGCAAGGAAGAATCGGACAGTTGCAGAACATCAACTAGTGTAGAAAAACACCTAATTTATTTTATTTTTTCCTTCCTTCAACTGCCCAGTTATATTGTATTACAGAGGGAGGGAAGGGATCAAGCTGCAAGGGAGAGAAATGGTTACTGTCTGTTGGCCTGGTAATCTGCTCTACCCATTTCTTTAGCAAAAAAGTCAGATTCATGGGCATAGATGCAGAATGGACAAGTGTGGCTTCTTGCTCCTGGGAAGCAACGAGCCATGCAGCCTTTAAGCAGTGCTGGCTTTGGATACAGAAAGAGATTGGACTCAGTGTTGGCCCAGCTGCCTCGGTAACTTCAAATGATGCAGTTCTCTGTACTCTGGCTGCACCTGCAGTAATAACCTGTGCAGGAAAATATGCAAATCCTTGCTTTGGTTATCCCTCTGCCTACAGATTTTAGCTTCACAAGTGCTTCAGTTTCTCATCTCTCCAGCCTTTCTATCCTGAGATGAACGAGTACAGTTTGATTCCTTGTAGGGTAAGATCTGTGAGAAGCACAATGAAGGAGGCTGTGCACAGGCTGCTGTGATTGTGCGCAAATACATTGAGATTTAGGGATAGACAAAACTTAAACAAAAAACCCCACTGGGGAGTAAGGGAGAGAGCGTGTCGCCTCTGGGTGTGGTGCAGCAGTTTAATTTGACCTAAAACCATGTTAGTGGGCAAAAGGGCAGTCACAGCCTCTGCCTTGCCCTCGATTATGTGTTCCTGCTTCCCCACTGGTGCAGTGGTGCAGGTAACCGGATCACTGCAGTCATCTAGTTTAAGACTCCCCCTGCAAAGAAGGCTTTCAGGCTGACCAAGTAGGGTGGGATCTGTGGCCACAGAGGAGAGGAGAGTAGGAGTGCCTGTCGCAACAGCGGCTTAGTCTTGCATTGGCTTAAGCCACTCGTGAAATCACTCCCTGAGTTTTCCTGCTAGCTCAGGGAGCTCTTCTGTGCTGGATCTTGTTGATTCTAGAGCTTTAGCTGTGGATAATGAAGAGTGGTTGGAAATGTTCTCTATTTATTGCCTCAAGTGCTGGTAGGCAGTAGCTCCTGTTTGTCTGCGAACTGCCTGGTTTTGGAATACAGCGGCTTTTATTTGTATGCACACATTGACATTTTCTGGTACTTCATTACACCAGTTTCTCATGCCGTCTATGGGCTACGGTACGCCTGATGCTAATGCTCAAACAGGAATGTCTGGGATTAGAATCCTGCACCTGGGCATGTCTCAGCCGCAAGCTAAACCAGGAACCAGCAGCTGGAGTCAGATCAGTGTAAGATCTCAGCGTGACCCTTTCTGAGTAATTCTACTCTGAATTGAAAGTTGAAAGCTGCTTGTCCCTAGGTGTGTGATGTCTTGCTCCTACGTGAGCTGTCAATATGATGCCACTAGCCCTGATGTGGCTTTGGAATCAGGGTTGCACATGGCTATATTTGCTGTTGCGGTGAACTTTGCAGACCGACTGGTAGGCAAAACTTACTCCTCATTAACCTTGAGAAATGATTAAAAAAAAATCTTTTTGTTTAAGTGGGAGGTTCTGTTGAAGTGGACTTTTTGGATTCTTGTTCCTACCATCAACAATTGTCTCTTTTTTTTTTTTTTTTTTTCCCCCCCCCTTTTTAAGCAACATGTCCATGATGGGCGAAAGGAGAGCCTTGATGGCTTTGTGAAGACTTTTGAGAAGTTGCCTACGACTGATGGCTACCCTGGAATCTACGCATTAGACTGTGAAATGGTGGGTCCCTAACGACAGGGGCAATGCACAAGCAAAACGAAGCTTTTTGGGGAAGGCCGAGGGTGTGATACAGATGGCTGAAGGAAAGCTCTGTTTCCTTACCATCTTCTTTCTTTTCTGCTGTGGACTCTAAATCATATTGGTCCTGTACATTTAAATTAGCTCTTATTAATTAGTTCTAGCAATGTGTGTTTCATTTGGGGACTGTGTGCACCCTTGAAAAGCTGTAGCTAGCTGGCTGATATTGAGCAGTGTTTGCTGGCTGGTCTTGCTACACTAGATGTGCTGCATTTTGGGAGCTGCAGCACTTCGGTGAATGGCTCCATTGATGCCATGCTGTGGTTGGCATGCACTTGTCTTCATGTCTGCTCTGTTGCTTACAGTGTTACACTAAGCAAGGACTGGAGCTGACAAGAGTAACTGTGATCAACTCTGACCTGAAAGTGGTATATGACACCTTCGTCAAACCGGACACCAAGGTGGTGGACTATAACACTAGGTAAGGACGGTCTTCCTTGGGTCAGAGGTCTGTGCTCAGAATCAGGAACTTAGGGGGAATGGCTGGGAGCACTTGTGGAAACTCCACTGACCACCACTTCCTAATGGCTGAGACGCTTTGGGCCTTGAGGTGTTCCTTTAGTGAAGGAAGCCCTCCTTTCCGCTCTTGCTCTGCAGATTCTCAGGTGTGACAGAAGAGGACCTGGAGAACACTAGTATCACCCTGCGGGATGTCCAAGCCGTCCTACTGAACATGTTCAGTGCAGATACCATATTGATAGGGCACAGCTTGGAAAGCGACTTATTTGCACTAAAGGTAAATAATGTGTCCTGCATTTACATCTCCCTCTCCCTCTGGTTCTTTCCCACCCTGGTGTGTGTTATATGTCTCCTTTAAATTTAGGAACTGTTTATTTCCAAGAACAAGAAGGACACAGTAGATGTGTCTTGTCTCAGCCAGTGGGAAGCTGTCTGTGGTGGAAGAGTGGGTCATGTGTGTCACTCATGGTGTCAGCCCAGCTTTTAGTGACTGGTGCTGCCTGGGGTGACAGACCTCTCTAGAGGTGACTGGGGAGGGTGAATAGAGCAGGGCTGGTTGGAAGGACTGATCTCAAATCATTTGCCTTTCACCCCTGCCGTATAGTCAAGAATCCTCCGTTGGTGTCAGCATCCTTTGATGGGCTTGAAGATGTGCTCAGCCAGGGTCAGGGCATGAACAGGGGAGGCTCTGGAGTCCCCTGTGCCCTTTGGATGTCCACAGTAACTATTTTAGAAACAGGACAAGCCTCTTCGTTGTCTCTGCCACTGGAGATAATTCTCATGGTTTCTCTTCTAATGTTAAAATGTCTGTTTTCTCCGAGTGAGATTCTCTGCCTGGTTTGCTGTGATTTGTGGTGTTACTTTGATCAAGCTATTTTGACCTTTTATCTGTCTTGTTTCCTGCCTGGCCCGTGTCAGTCTAGCCTGCACATTTCTCAGCCATCTCTGCTGTCCTGCGAGGGAGGGGTGTCCTCTTCCTTTGCACTCTGAACATAGATCCCCAGGGGCTTGTCCAGGGTCACCAAGAAAGCGTGCGGCAAGCAGGAGCTGAGTCTTTAGTCTATGCTCACGAGCCAGAACTTCCTCCAGCCATTCTTTATCATGCAGCTGCTTTGATGAAGAAGCTGTGGCTGCCAACTCACGGCGATGGTTTGGAAGCAGGAGGTTTTAATGCCTGCAAAGCGCTTTACCTCTCCATGGCACCCTTTATCCCAGCCTCTCAGAGAGTTCATCATCATCATAAAAAAATTATTTACAGTTTTATCAGCACAAGATGACTGCGCTGGCCTCTTAGAGGCATGATTTTCTCTTAGCATCGCAGACACTGCCAAGAGAACGAACCCGAGAGCAATATAGCAGAGCGTGACAGGCAGTGGCATGTCAAGTCGTAATGTCTGAAGGCTGTGGCAGTAAAGTCGACATCTCGCTAATGGCCATGGCAAGCTCCAAATGGTGATAGCATTTCAATTTTTATTTAAAGCTATATTATCCTGTTTCCTCAGTCTTCCTGATCTACATAAGTAATTATCGTTGTGCCTGGGTGGGTGCCAAACTTGACTGCAGTCTAGGAGAGATTATCCATAACGTTGGCAGTTTTATACTCCAAAGAGCGTAGCAGGTTGTTTCTGTTAAACTGCAGCTGTTCTCAGGCATTTACAGAGCTGGGCTATGAAACTATTAATGACGAAGTTACGGATTGTCACGCAACATTAGCTGGTGCCTAGGAAGAGTCGAGGCAGACGAGGAGACTGGATTATCAGGGTCCTGTCTGAGTCATCCTGTGTCGAGACTTGCAGAGCCGTCTTTTGGTCAGGCATACAGGTTTATCTCTTAGACCTTGTGTTTTACTCCTGTGCTCAAGATGCGGGACTGCCTTCATCCATGTTCCTTTAGCTCTCACTGAACACGTATTCTTGGCAACAGAGGATTAATCTTGTCTTAGCCTGAGAGTAAGAAATTAGTATTGAAAAAAAAGCCAGCTTACCCTATGTTTATGGACTCTGTCAGACGTGGCCTTTTGGTCCTCTGCAGGGCCCCTTGGTGCAGGGCAGGTAGCACGTTGACCTGTTCAGCATCCTCAGTTCCTCCAGCATGATGACACTTCATACCTAGAGGACAGCGAACCTCTTGCCTCTTGTGTGTGCCCGGGCACTTTGACCCGGACATGGGACCAGCCAGGGCCTGCCTCACATCCACTGTGTAGTTCCTTATGCCCAGAAGTACAAGATCTCCTTGTCCCATTTCGTCCTTGCTAAGCCGGTACTGGTTAAAAACTTCCTGTTGACTCATTGCTGACGGACTGGAGGTTTTCAGGTTGGTTTGCACCTTGAAGGTTAGGCCTTTTCTGTAGAAGCAGTGTGATGTACAATGGGTTAGGTACAGTTTTGACTTGCACATCCTTCCCGCTTCTGTCCACATCTCGAGAAGCAGTTGAAAGGCTGTTACAAGCTTTGTGGGGTCAACTGGTTCCTTGGCTTAGTTTTTCATTGTGAAAGACGCTCTCAGAGGTATGCCAGCTTCTCCAGGCCAGGGTATTAAGGATTGACCTGTCCTGTCGTTTGAGTTATATGAACTGAATCAGCCCTGAATTTCTGCTGCTTTGAAAGTTAGGCAGGGCTTTGAGGGCAGGTATGTTGGCTGGCAGAGCACTGGGAAGCCTGCGTGCACGCACCCTTCAAGGGGGGAGTCATCTTTGATTCAGCCAGAGCCTCTTGCAAGACTGGTTGGGTTGGAGCTTGGTGACAGCATTACATAGAGCCTGAGAGGCTGACCGGAAGATTGCTTTAGCATGGTTAATCCTAAGGAGTGTCCGTCCCTGTGGGAGAGGGAAAATAAGCATGTTTCTTTCCTGCTCCCTCCCTCCAGCTTATCCATGGTACAGTGGTGGATACCGCAATCGTCTTTCCCCACCGGCTGGGTTTGCCTTACAAACGGGCTCTCCGGACGCTGATGGCAGACTACCTCAAGCGCATCATCCAGGACAATGGTGAGACCAAGGAGGAGCTGATAGTGAGAGTCTCGTGTCCCGTCCCACCTGGATGTGGGCTCCTTGGACCTGCCTTCCTCTGCTCTCCCCAAGCCCCATCCTCTTGCTCCTAATCTTTTTTTTTTCCTGCGTAGTGTCTGGCAGTAGCTGTAAATGGGCCGGTATATGAAGTCTCTGCCACAGATAGTTTCAGTTTGAACCCTGTTCTGAGGGCCAGCAGCACTTGCTTCTTCCTTCTCTGTGCTAAGTGGGGACCAGAGAAGTGGTGTGAGAAGGCCAGAGGTAGCACTGCCAAGGCCGTATCATGCCCTCCCTTCTCTCTCTGCCAGACTGAGATTGACCTTTCTGTTTGAAGCACAGCATGTTCCTTTCTGCCTTCCTTGAGCACGTTGTAACCATACTGCTGGGGAAATTGAGGCCTACTCTATAGCCTGAGGGCCTACAGACTAGCAGGACTTCAGCCCTTAATTTAAACAAGGGAACGGTGTCAGGTTGAAGTCCAGCAAAAAATGTGTTTAGCGGAAATTCTACTTTAAATCCATCGCTGTGGTTCATGGTGATCACAGATGCACTTGTGGTTGCTGTGGCAGAGGGCAGTGAGCAGCTGGGCCAGCAGTGTCAGCCAGGACCTCGTCTCGGGAAGCCTTCCTCCGTGCTTTGTGCTGTGAGCAGGCGGCCCCTGTGCAGCAGAGGGGCTGCCTGGGCCGAGGTGGTAACTGCCATCCTTCTACTTTAAATCCATCGCTGTGGTTCACGGTGATCACAGATGCACTTGTGGTTGCTGTGGCAGAGGGCAGTGAGCAGCTGGGCCAGCAGTGTCAGCCAGGACCTCGTCTCGGGAAGCCTTCCTCCGTGCTTTGTGCTGTGAGCAGGCGGCCCCTGTGCAGCAGAGGGGCTGCCTGGGCCGAGGTGGTAACTGCCATCCTTGTCTTTCTGTCCCCAGTGGAAGGGCACGACTCCAGCGAGGATGCCAGAGCTTGCATGGAGCTGATGGTCTGGAAGATCAAAGAAGATGCTAAAGTGAAACGATGACTTGCGTTTTCTCTCTCTCCTGTTCCTCCTCCACCTCTTTGAAGCAGTGCAATAAATGCTCAGAGTAACACTGTCCACCTGTACGCAGCAGCATGCTACCCCAGACTCCCCATGCACTCGCAGGTATCTATGGGACTTAAGGACTGCTGCTGGCGCAGCTGAACGGCACCAGCTCACTGCTTGCAGGTCCCTGTGTCCAGATAGTGGCTCTCAGATCCTCTTTACTCCACCTGAGGGATACTCTGTGGTACAACAATTGCCTTGTAGGCATGGCAAGGTGGTTTTGAGTAGCGCAACCAGAGAGAACTTCTTGGTTCCTAGGAGAAGCTTTTAGACGTAGGTTGGATACGTGAAGAACGATCTTTCTGGTTCAGTTAAAGGTAGATCTTTTTCTTTCTTTTTTCAAATGTAACTTAAATTGCCTCTGTACTCCAAAGCTGGTAGCTTCCCGCAGTGTCTGGAGATGGGGGGAAATGAAAGTAAGTTGGGCAGGAAGCTGTAAAGTGAGTGGATTGCGTAGCTGGTGTGTGAATGGCAAGCAAGGGGTGGTGAGAGCCGAGGATCAAGCCATCTGGGAGAAGATCCTAGTGCAGTCCCACTGCGGAGGAGAAAGCCAGAGCTGCAAGAGAAGGAATGCCGTCTCTGAGAGCGTGTAGTGGGAGCGGCAGGTCGGAGAGGAATGAGATGGGTTCAGGGGAATTACCGCCTGCTGCGACCCAGGTGATCTCTTCAGTGAGGGCTGGCATCCTGGTTCTGCAATCGCTGCAAAAGGGGGAAACCACAAGTGGCAGACCTTGCCCGGACCTCAGGGAGCCGTGTGGGTAGTAGTGAGGCAAGGGACAGCGGGGCTGGGACGAATTGGGCTCCCGGAGCCAAGCAGCAACTCAGCCTTCCAGGAGAGGAGCCGTGCTGGGGAGGACAGCGGTAAGAGCAGGCGTTGTGTCTTTGGGTTAGGACAAGCTGTCCTTCCCCTGACCCTGAGCTTCCAGCATGTCTCCAGAGAGCTTGTATGTAGGGATCAAGGTTTTTGGGGGGTCCTAGGTGCAGCTAAGATTGCACCTAAGGGTGGCCCCTAGCAGTCTGCAGGACTCCCCGCTGGTCTGTCCCTGATAGCAGGGACTTGATGCAGGCAAGAGCAAAAGCAATAGGTAAAAATTATTCTTTTAAACTAGTTTACGTGTTGGGTGTTTTAAGAAGAGCAAAAGACCCGGTTACTGTCTGTCTGGCCCCCTGCACAAAAGCAACTGTCGAGAATGTGTCTCTGTCGCACTTGTGACGACTGGGCCAGGAGCACAGGCAGACTGGACGGCCCCAGTGGTCTCTCTCCACCCAGGCTCCGTTGCTGTCGGGGGAACAACAGAGCTGCTTGAAATGGTCCCTGATAGATGAGGTCTTTCAGCTGAGGTCCAGGCAGCAGCTTAGCCCCATTATTAGAGCAGCGATCGCCTCGCCCCTCCCAGGTGGGACTGGCATTGCTTCCCAGCGGTGGCTGGTGTGGTGCTGGCCCCCGCGTCCCTGGTATGGGCTGGCCGTGCTGCTCCGGTGGCAGTGGGGCAGGGGAGCTGCTGGGTTTTGGTTCCTGTTGGAGCTGGGTCCGGCTCGCTCCTTTGTATCCCCGCTGGCGGCGCTGGACTCAGAGTTTGGGGACGTGCTGCGTGTCCCCCAGCACGTCCTGCTGACCTGTCCCACCTCCGTGCCCAGCGTGGTGGTGGGAAGGAGCGTGGGGCTGGGCTGTGCGCCATGGGCAGGGGTGTCCTGCTCGGGCCCTTCTGCGTGGGCCGGAGGGTGCTGGTATGTGCGCAAGCCCTGGGAAGCTCTCCCTGTCCCACTGCTGTCCTCAGAGGCGAGGATGTGGCTTCCAGCGCCTCACCTCTGCCAGGCTCTCCTGAAGCCACCAGGAGAAGTGGGGACTGTAGAGGCTCCTGTTATTGCTGCGCCCTTCTGTGTTTCCTCTGGCGGGCAGTGGCACGGGCTCCCAGCCTGTTCGTTACCCCAGATTTCAGGCCGTGCAGCTCCCTGCCGCTCCCCCAGCGCTCCGTAGGGCACGTCGCATCCAGCTCTCCTTGCAGCCCACCTTTGCCAAGCGTTGCAGCCGCCTCCTTCCCTGCCATGGGGCTTCCACGTGAAGCAGGCTCGGGACACTGTGTCTTGTCCCCCTCTCCCATCGCCTGCAGGGAACTATGCTGTTCCTGCCCAGGCCGTGGGAGAGACGGAGAGAAAGTTCACTGCTTCCTGACGGGCGAGGGAAGGTTTATTCCCCCTTCTGCCTCTTTCCCTTGTTTATCCCCCCATTTATCTTCACCCCTGGCTGCAGCGACGGAGCGTACCTGGAGCAGCCCGCCGATCTACCGTGCAGCCGCGTTAGATTTCAAAGCCACCTCTTGCCTCAAGGTTCCCGTTACTTGACAGGCAGTCCCAGCTCCCTGGCCCTCTCCCGCAGCAGCTGCCTTCCCTGGAAAAGCCGGCACATTTCTAACGTGGACCCAGTGTGCTGGTGTCCCGCTTGAGGTTGCTCAACTTGATCCCACCGCCTGGGCTTGGGGAAGGCAGAACATCGCTACAGGGTGCGTTCTTCCAGGCATGAGTCCTGCCAGGCCAGGGGACCTCGGTCATTTCCCCTTCCTTTCCCCACGGTTCAGCTGGGACCCCCTAAAATGAGGCTTTTGGAGCGGGTTGTGTGGGGGGAGGTTGCCTGTCTTGCGGGAGGTTAGTGGGAAGGTGGATCGCTTCCACCCGCGCTGTCGGTGGGGGTCAGAGCGAGCGTTGGACCCACGGGCTGCCATCGCCTCCACCCCCGGGCGCCGTAACACTGTAAAACCAGAGGTTTGTGGTTGGTAAGAGGTTTTTGGGTTGTACATAACTATTGTATCCTGTAACTTTTTGTAATCGTTTTTAATAAAAGGGTGTTGACTAGACGCACGCTCCTGAGTCTGGGTCTGCTCTGCCTGCGGCCGGATTGGGGAGGATGGGTGCTGGAGCTGTCCCGGAGGCGGGGAGGGCTTGGGCATCCCTTCAACTTGCAGCCGCTGTTATTTCCCCTGTGTCCTCACAAAGCGGCTCTGCAGCAGAGCCCAGCCTTCCCCCAGCACTTGTCGCCGGCTTTGCAGCCCTCAATGGTCTGTGCCTGTCCACGGCACATCAGCCTGCCGGGGCGAGCCGAGGAGCTGGAGAAAAGGGGGCGAAACCGGTGCCGCTCGGCGGCTGCGAAAGTCCAGCCCGACCCCCTGGGACTGCGAGACGAGGTGAGGCCCGCAGTGCCTGGGGTGGCGTGGGCCGTATCCTTGCTCTGTGCAAACCCTTCTCGTCCCCCACGCGGTGCCCAGCGCCTCAGCTGGGCAGCAGCGGGGCAGGTCCCGGCTCCTCTTGCCTCCGTCCCGGAGCTGGGGCGAACGCCCAGGAGCACCGGCGCCCGCCTTGGCGTCCTCCCGCTGCCCGGCCAGGCTCCCCAGGAGAGCCCGTATCAATCTCGCAAATGGGGCAGGAATTAAAGTGCCAAGCGAAGGAGCTGATTCAGCATGGAGGAAGAGGTGAAGGTAAAAAGTTCAAATAAAAAAATAATAGGCTATTAGATGACCTCACTGGCAATGTGTTTTATTTAACGTGCTGGTGATGGCTTGGCGATGGCAGCGGTTACTCAGGATGCTATAAAAGTCACGGCTGACCTGTGTTCTCAGCCACCTTTATGGGCCTTTGAGGTGCTGGGTGCGCTGAGCTCCGGCATTAACCTCCCTGGGTGCCATCCCTTCCCCTGCGGGATGGTTGGCCCCTCTCCTCCCGCAACGTCCCCCTCTCGCAGGTCACCCGCTGTGAGGCAGGCAGGGTTTTTAGGGTTGCGAGAGCCCTGGTCCCAGGTGAGCACCGCTCACCCAGCCTCGGGCGTGCAGACGGACACCGGTGCTGCAGGTATGTGTTCAATATCTGTCTCGGAGGTCTGAGACCCTCGGTTTTTCCCGGAAAACCTTGTCTCCCAGGGGCACTGCTGGAGCTGGGGCATCGCCAACAGAAACCGCAGCGAGGGGCTTTCTTGCTCTCTGAAACCTTTGCCCCTTTGGGGTCCTTCGCCTCTGACTCGAAGCGTAGCCCCTGGGCTTGGTGCTGCCTGTCCCCCTGCCACCGGCTCAGCTTTCGGATGCTGGAGCTGAACGGGGGGGGAAGCAAATGAGCAGAGAGACCCCCTGAGCCGTAACCCGGGTCCCTCACCTCCCGAAACCCCCTTGGAGAGGCCGGACCGGCACAGCCAGCTCCTTCAGGGCGAGCTGAAATTTGGAGAGGTGATGCGAAGTAGCTTGCTGGAAAAAAAAGGCTCGATTTCCACCCCAGCTCAGAGGTGCCGGGGTGTTACAAATCCCCCCACTTTGTCCCCCCTTGCCGGGGGTCCGGCCCCTGTCCTTGCACACTCTGCCTGTATTGATCTGCGGAAACAGCCTCTGGCCCCCGTCCCAGTCTAAGCTCTTTACGAGCGAATTGGTGCCACTGGGCTGGCCGCGTCCTTGGAGCTGTCACGGATACAGTGACCTGCCGGGTCCCTGATGGCACTGTCGGAGCTTGTTTCAGCCCCGGGAGGAGGGTCCCTGCCCTGCTCCTGCCTCTGCTGCACTGGTTGCAGCTCGGCTTTGCACGGCTGCTCCTCTCCCTGCCCATGGCTTCACTTTCCCAAGCAGAGAGGGGATTTCCAAACCCAAATCAAAGCAGCCTCCTGCCCGCTTGTGAGGCAGGGGGAGAGGTTTTGGGCAGCCCAGGGGGCTGGTTGGGCACATGGGGTCATTGCGTGTCCCTCTTCCGCAGCTGCAGCTGAGACCAGGCAGCTCATCACATGCAACCCTGTGTTTGTAGATGCTACCAGGGTTTGTGCCAGGGCCTGTCTCATCCTGCAGCATCGTCACCCGTCAACAGGCATCCACAGGGCGTCTGCATGTCACCTCCTGCCACCGAGCCACCCAGCACAGGTCAGAGGTGACCGCAGTCATCGATCCTCTCCTTAAAAAGCTTTTTACCACGGTTTGTCCGAAACCTCCAGGAGGGTGAGGGCTGGGGCCGAGGCAGGGGGGGCGAGTATCCATCATGCACTGGGGGTCCCGCAGCTTGTGTGTGCAGGCAGGAAAGCTCCTTACACGGTGACATCGGTGCAGTGAGGCCCTTTCTGCCACAGTCGATGGGGACAGGGACCTTGCAGCAGCCCCGCACGCATCTGCTCCCTCCACACTCCTCCTTGCTCCAGCCTTTTGCTCGGCCGGACCTGGGGTCGGTGCCCCGAGCACGGGCATCTCGGCTGCTCTGCTCCATGCCTCGGTTTCCCCTGGGGTGGCAGCGTGGGATGCTTGTGCCCCCGCCATGGCCCTGGACCCCCGAAGTGCCCTGCGCTGCAGGGCGGCTGTGGGGCTCCCCAGATATGGGGAGTGCCCTAAACCTGCAGCGGGGCGAGGTGGGCGACGCTGGTGTCACCGCAGGGACCGGGGTCCTCCTGCACCCTCCAGCCACTGGTGAGAGAGGGGAACTGGCCAGACTGGGGAGCAGGGGCTGGCGGTGGGCGAGAAACAGGGTCACAACCAGTGACCAGCCCTGTTCCCTTCCCAGCACTGTCCCCTGGCCTGAGACGGCCACAGGGTGGCCAGGAGCAGAGGAGGAGGAAAAGGAGGGTGCGGGTGCGGGTGCCGAGCAGGAAGGAGGGCAGCAGCCGACTGGTTGTGCAGGTTTTGGGGGGGTGTGTGAGTTTTTGGGTGTTGGAGGCGGGTGCTGGGTGGCCGATCGGCAGTTCTGGTC